CTGTGTTATATATGCTGCAGGAAGGATACTGTATATTGTTGAATATATATATGAAAGATAGCTATATACTGTACTGTATATCTGCACTCACACTGCAACAGCACCCCCTGCTGTTCCTTATCAGACAAGAACGGAACATGACACAAGTATGAATAAATGAATGTGGGAATAAATACAGCAATAAATACATGTGGTAATAAATACATGAATGTATAAATAGATACATAAAAGCAATAGGGAAAGTGCAATATTTGATTTGTGTATGAATGCAGTAGGGAAGGTGCAATATTTGATTTATGTATAAATACAATAGGGAAAACTGCAATATTTGATGATGTATGAATGCAATAGGGATATGTGCAATGGGGAAAGTGCTGTACCTGTATGTTTCTTGTTTGTTTCTTTGCCATGTGATATGTGATCTCTGTTCTGTATCTATGAGTGATTGACCTGAATGTTTTATGTTTATTATCTCGATGCCCAAGACAAATTTCTCCCAAGGGAGACAATAAAGCTCTATCTTATCTTATCTGTCTATTGTTGAATATATATGAAAGATAGCTATATACTGTATATAACATTAGATTAATTGTAATTCAATGTACATATCAATAATTAATGGATACAAGGATAACTTTGCTGTTAATGAACATTATGTGATTATACATGATTATAATCAAATCAAATCAGGTTTTATTTATAAAGCACATTTAAAAGCGATTTTTGGTCGAGCCAAAGTGCTGTACATGTAATAAAAAAAACACATTACTACAAAACACAATAAACGACAATAAATTACAACAGATATAACTTAAAAAAAAAAAAAATAAGAATAAAACACACGGAAAAGTCAGAAGTCGTGCTCCGCTCTAATTAGAAAGCCAGAGAGAAGAAGTGAGTTTTTAGAGTGGATTTAAAAACCCCTACGGTCTGGGCCGACCTCACATGGAGGGGCAAAGTGTTCCAGAGCCTAGGGCCAGCTGCTGCGAAGGCTCGGTGCCCTCGGGTTTTGAGCCTGGTTTTGGGCACTACCAGCAGCAGCTGGTCAGCATATGTGTAGATAAGCTGTATAAATAATGGTTAACATGTCACAAATCATAAACAAATCTGGGACTGTCTGCAGAACCTAACAGGGAAAGGGCATAAAAGATTATCTCGAGCCGGTTTCTCAAACTTACCTACCCCACCTTTAATTATTTAAATAATATTTAAGCTTCTTATAAGTGAAAATGTTTAAAAGAGAAGGGTTTAGAAAAAGTGTCTTTACTATAGGAAATATGCATTACACAGTTGCCTACAATGATATGCAGGCATTTCTTTACATTTTATTTTTGTTAACGAGAAACATCTGTTAGAACAGGCCCAGCCGAAATTACATTGGCCCACCCAAAATTTAAATCCTGGCGCCGCAGCTGCTGTATTCCCCAAGATCTAACCCCTCAGCAAACAAATCCCAGTCTGTGTGTTCAAAACAGTCTTGCAGCAATGAGGTGGCTTCCTCAGACCACACTTGTACTGTCCTGATAGCTGGTTTTGTTTTGCAGATATGTGGTTTGTAAGCTGGAATCATAATTAGTGAGATGTGGTCAGATTGTCCAAGATGTGGGGATTATGTTGCTTTAAATGCCCCTGGAATGTTTGTGTAGATGTTGTGGTTCAGCCAGATCTCTGTGATGATCGGAAGCGCCGGTCTGTACGGGTTAGCCTTTAGCCTAGACCTTAGCCCGGCTCACTTACCACGCTTCTGTCTCCTCTCCTTCCGCCGCCGCCTCGCTGGTGGGACGGTGAAAAAGATTGCCTCCGGGCTGCGTAGAATCTACAGAGGGATGACAGTTGTGTCCAAACGGAGATCAGTTCTGAAAGAAAAATAATTTAGCTCAGTTATGTATTAAAGCAGGGGTGCCCAACCTTTTTTGAACCGAGAGCTACTTTTAAAGTTGCCAGTGTGCCGAGATCTACCAGTCCAAATAGAGAGGCGTAGCCATTACTGACAGCGTACTACCAGGAAAATACACACTTCTACTTGTATAAAACTGACCTTTGTACGATTAATACTTCATAAAATACTGCTGATCATTTATCTTACCTCTTTCTAATCTACACACATACAAGTATTTAACTGAAGTTACACAACGGTGTTGTTGATGCAGAGTTGGAGTTTATTCACACGTCACATACCACAGTGGGTAATGTTTTCAAGAAACATTGAACAGTGCTGCCACATATGACACAGGAAAAAAAAGACTCTGAACCCTTTCTTTGCCATTATATAAAAATAGTGTTGCTCCAAAAGTATAAATTAGGCTTACTAATAAGACAACTCAGATCTGAAGCTACATGCATGCTTGACAAAGTGCAATAAAAAAGACAAAATTAATAGAATCAAACCCTTTTCTTGTTGCATTTTAGTAGAGTATAAAAAGAAATGCCTTTAAAATAGGATGCAAGCAACACTAGTTTCTTAACCTGAATTGATAATAGACTATAATCAATTTAAGTTTGCATTATTGTTATACCATTTTGTACAATAATTATAATGAATAAGTTCAAACAAACTAAAACTTACAGCTGATTAATAACGGTATCTAACTTGAGTTTTTATTATATCAAAAACCTGTTGAAATGCTACTGTTATTTTTACTGTCCCCAAAAAGCGTGTCGGCAGCCTCCAGGAATGCTTCTTTCACAACTTTGCCATCTTTGAAAGACTTCATGTGTTTCGCAAGAACGTCACTGACACGATAAGATGCTATGGTAGCAGCCTTGCTCTTGTTGTTGGGCCTGGTGAAAATGGACTGCTGTGCATTTAGCTGTCCTTTCAGGTCCCTCACCTTTTGGGAGCGTAGGGCAGAATTAGGAGGGAATTCCGTCTCGTAGCGTTTGTGCACTGTTTTGAAATGCCGCTCCTAAATTACCCTTCTTCGGGAAAGCCACGCTCGCATTGCAGATGAGACAGATGGACTTTGAATTGGAATAGATACAAAAATAATCATCCTCCCACTCGGAGTGAAAATGATATATTTTGGGCTTTTTTGCTTCTGCTAGGGCTGTGCAATTAATCGTATTTTAATCGCAATTACGATTTTGGCCTGCCACAATTACGAAAACAACATAATCGTAAAAAACGATTATTTTGCTTTGCTTGGTTGTGACCGTGCACTGCAACATATTGGATCTAATTTATTTTAGTCTAATTTATTTGTATTTATCATATTTACATATGTTTAGTAGCTTGTTGAAGTGCGCTCCAAAATATTTGTTGATCTTGCTTATTGGTATTTATTATTTTGATATTATTTATTTAAATGTAAATATAAATGTATCATTTAATTTATTTTTTGTATTGGTTTTTAAGTTGAATTATACGTTCAGGGTAATCAACAGTTAAAAAGATACTGTTCAAATTATTATTTGTATTTGTTTTAAAGGGCCCATGTCATGGCCATTTCCACTGATCATAATTACATTGTTGAGGTATACTAAAATAGATTTATACTGTGCAATTTTCCAAACTCACATTGGTTTCGCATACAGCATCTCTGTCAAGCATGTGTATTCAGCAGTATTCACTTTCTCCACTAAACGACTCGTTGGAGCTCTTGCCCCCCCCTCCCTGTGAGCCTAGTGTGCTCCGATTGGTCAGCTCGGCCACTCGTTCTGATTAGTCAACCACCAGAGAGGCTGCGCCCATGTCAGTGCTTTTCCCGGCTGCTCTCAGCGTAACATCAGTCTTATCATGGCGTCGGTACAGCGGTATATTTTATATACATATATATTTTTAACTGTTATAGAAGAGTGTGACGGCCCCAGGGCCTTTGTCTTACGATGGGGTGGAGCTGAAGAGGCTAATCAGCACGATCACGGACACCTCCGGACACAGTCTCTCTCCAAAGCGGCTGCAGGAAGACTAACTCTGCGATCCTCTCAACCACCTGTCTCTGCATTTACCACAATAAATGTGCCGTGGTTTTGTAAACTCGTGTATGTCTCCTTGTCTTTCCGTTGTGGCCTACGAGCTACTCTCATAACAAAGAGTAAGTTATTTTTACCCGTTATAAACTACTACTGTTTGATGAGAAATCAAATCATGGTTTGCTATATATGAATTCAGGGAAGAAAGGATAGGCCTACTAAGTATTTCCATTAAACTTTATTTTTAGAAATGTACAAAATCAACATAAATATACATATATACACGGTATATCATCCATTCCTCCTCCTCGCATCTTGCCTGCGCACAGTCGGTGCGGTGCCTTTTAGCACCCTCAGTAGTAGTAGAATCCCTTCCCCGTCATGGATTGTCCGCCAGGATCTGGCTGGACGAAATCAAATGCAAATCACAAAATATTAGAGAAACTTAGTTGTTTTAGATTCGTTAGTAGTACTTGTGTAATGAACAGCTTGCCTGCTAATATGCTAACCTAGCTTTGTTTACCTTGGTAGCTAACACGATATGAACGTTAGCTTGGAGGAAAGGCAACTATAATGCAGTGTAATAAAACTACTATGAACAAAAGCTAGTGGTTCATATTAGGCTAGCAATAACGTGTTTATAATTGCAATCGTATACGGGTATTCTGCTACGTTCGGTCATACAATGTAACTTGCATGAATACATTGTTTTGCGCTAGCATACAGCTAGCCTCGTTAGCTACATGCAGTATATGTACGGTCACAATGTACGGTAAATCACAGTACAGTATACTGTATGAGTATTCCGTGTGTGTGACTGCAGACATTCTCCTGCCATGACAAACATGTAAGGCCATCTGCTGACATTGTAGTTGATATATTTAAACGCTAGCAACGTAGCATCACAAAAATGTTTTTCTGACCAAAACTAGCTCTAGCTCCGTGTGTTAGATCGCTACGCCAGCTATAATGTAATTACGTTTCGCGACTGACCGGCAAATCACCCGGAGTATACTGTCAATAGGTATTTTGTGTGTGAATGCAGACATTCTCCTGCTATGAGATACATGTATGCAAGGCCATCTGCTGATATTAGAGTTGATATATGGAAACTCTAGCAACTTAGTTAGCACAGTTAGCACTGTGTCAATGGCTTAGCAGTCCAACACAGTTTACACATTTAAACAGTCTTGTTTGATAAATACACAAATAACAATGCAAACTTACAGGTTGTATACCCAGATCTTCCCCTGCTCCAAACGGTCCAAACAAGCTGTGCATATCCGGCCTCAAACTGGGCAATGTTTTGGAAGCTTTCGTCTGTGAAATGCCGGTTCTTCGAACCTCTGGAGGAGGAACACGCCGCTGCTGGTGTGGCCATAGCTCTTCGGGATTGGTCCATTTCGTTCCGGGTACCGCATGACATCAGGCGGTACCCGGAAGACTCAAATGGGCAGTGACGTATCTCCAACGAGGCGTTTTGGGGAGGTATTTTCTGTGTTAGAGTTTTACTCGCTACAGGGTGTACTTTGAGGGTTTTGACTCTGCACACCGTTTACATGCATAAAAACCTTCATAACACACAAGGGGACGGGTAATAACCGGAAAAGCATGACATGGGAGCTTTAAAGTTCAATAAATGGATGTTTTCAAAGTCAATGAATAATCGTATTTAATAATCGTGATATCAATTATTGACCAAAATAATCGTGATTATGATTTTTGCCATAATCGCACAGCCCTAGCTTCTGCCATAATTGCGGTCTTGTGTGTGTGCGGACTGTCACTCCTGTTGACACGGACAACGTCAGCTAACTAGTGCCCACTGCCAACCAGCCACGCCCCGACACATGGGATCACGCCGGCCAATCATGCGTTCAAGTGCATTATTCTGGCACAGGAAGATTATGTTATAGGACATTAACGATAAAACAGAATATTGTTGTTCTATTTTTAGACACATCTCGCGATCGACTGGGAATCTCCCCTGTATTAAAGGCTACTACCTTGCTGCTAGAAAGTAAACATGCTAAAACGTATATAAACAAACAGAGAGCCAAGCCGCTGCGTCTGCATCTTACGTGTGTGTGTGTCTCACCTGAGTGATGGTGCTCTCCTCCACCGTGTTCTCTCCCATCTCTCTGTTGACGTACAGCAGAGCGAACAGGAAGCCAGCGCGACCGTACAGGAGTTCATCAGAGTCACTGAGGACTGAACTCTGGAGGAACACACACACACACACACACACACACACACACACACACACGTTTTGCTATACTTGTGAGGACCATGACCCAAGGGTAGGGTGTGAGGACCCCCCTTTCTGCTATAGCCACAAAGATGAAAAAAATATCTCTAACACAAGATGGGGGTAGTGAGTCAGAAAGTCACTTAAAATGTTAAAACACAAATTTTCACACAAGTGGTGAATTTGGTCGGTGTTGTGAGGACCGGCCAGTTGCTAGGCAGATTTAAGTGTGTGTTTTTCCCAGCAGTTTTGACAAGTTTTCTTCTCAAAAACCTTTTATGAGCCCTATGGCCCACAGCATTAAAGATTGGCATTGCACATAAGAGAAATGAAAAGACTAGAAATAAACAATTCTAAAATGTAAACATCACAAATAGAAATAAAACAGCATTCAAAAAGTAGAAAATATACATGTTGAAATACCAATTTACAGTAAACAAAATAAATATAAAGCAGGATATTATATACATTAAGTGTGTAGGAATGGAATATTAAATTAAGTATACATGTAAAATGTACAGTGTGAGTTTAAGTCCAGTTATCCAAAGAGATAAGAGATTGTTGAATCCTAAAACCTTATTTATGTAATATTCTATAATGATATGTTTCAGTCCCTGCCTGCAGGCCCCTGTATTTAATTTAAAGTCTATGCCGGTGTATATGTCTCTCTCAGTTTCTTAAATCCTCACCTTCTTCTCTTCTCCCATGTTGTTTTGTTACTAACCCTTTTGCCCTCTGTCTGTGTGAGTGGTTGGTGTTTCTTTCTTGCTGTATGGATGTGGCTCCCATCTTTAGGCCTCCCAATGCTGTCCCTGGTCCTGCTGTCCCTGCATGGCCCTGCTCCTCCTGCATCCCTCACAGCCATTCCCATTGTTTCATGCATTTACATACCATATTCTGTCTTTGCTTTCTAGTCTTGATACCTCCCTTGTGTATTAAACAGTATTATAAGCCATACTGTGTTATGTCCTAAGTATTCACTCTTTCAGGAAACTAAGGTTGCATTCACACCTAATAGTCCTCTTCTTTGGTGTGTTAAAACATTATAAACACATATAATGACAGACTGCAGTAAGGAGGGCTCTGATCAGATTGTACCACAGCCTTTTGTTGTACACAGGGGACCAGTGAGGTGAGCAGTCATAAGCAAATATAGCCTAGCTTATAGGCCAAACCGCACCAAGCGGTTGAACGCACCAGGGTTCGATTCAACCAGACTAAACAAGGCTGGTGTGAACATGACCTAAGACAAGGTATTACTTCCTTCACAAAACAAACAATGCAAGAACTATAATCACAGATTGATTTATTTGACAGGTGTGTTGAACTACAGTTACAAAAACACTCACCTACTGTCCATTGACTCTAACTCTACATTAACATTTCTCTCTTCTAACTCTACATTGACTCTACTAACTACTTGTGTCACAGAGTGAACCACTTGTTTTTGGTGAGATTTCGTGGAAACAACACACTATTGGAAAAATGTCACGTTTGCTTAATTAAGCCATTATGTGTGGAAATTCTATGTGATAAATGTATCTTTCAAATACGTTTTCTGTCTGTGTAACAATCCCAAAGGTATGATTGAGTGCCAGCGTGCATTATTGAGCCAAATTGTCCATTGTCCTGGGTTGACAGTGTCAGACATTTGAACACATTTTCCTTTAAATCTGAAACGTATATGTAGTTTTGTAAAATTTGCTACTGATTACGATTTTACAAAATAACTTCACTGCTGAGATCAAGGGACAAGGCAACACTGTCCCAACAGGCAGAGGAACAATAGTGAATGATAAACAAACCATCTGTTTTACTTGAGAGAGAAAACTAAGGCAAATTCAAGAAATCTTACACAATCTGTTCAACTAGTCCTTCCGCCCAAATAACAGATTTGTTAAATGAGAATTCTACAATCTGGCAAACCAATCTTCAGGATGGCATCATTTGACAGTGCTCTCCAAAACTTTCACAAATGATTTGTAAAGCCATATTCACACAGGATTATCATTACGGGACCTTATGTCATTTAGAAAGAACAGTCATGGCAGACTCATATTGGATTTAAGATCACAGTCAATAACTGTAATAATAACAAATAACTAGAGGCCTCCACGCAGGGCTGGACTGGCCATCTGGCATACCGGGCATTTTCCCGGTGGGCCGACGTGCCTTTTGGGCCGACACGTCATTTTTTTTTTTTTCTGAAGTCCCGGCCCATAAGACGGGTAGATTGGCCCTCTGTTTAAATGTTTTTAGTAATTGACACTGGGCCGGCCCAATCAAATCTTTAATCACCTCCCCCTTTGGGCCGCTCGGTGTGCATCATTAAATCACGCCCCCAGGAGGTGAGCCGGCCGTTGAAGCCAAATCGCCTTTTTTTTCGAGAAAAAAAAAAGTTCGAGTTAGAAATGGAGAAGGCGAAGGCGAAGACGAAGGCCAAGCGAAAAGGGGGAGCAGAAAAATTGCGGGCAAGAAAAAAGCAGGCCCTTCGTGCTGATGTTGCCGCTTGTGTCAAAATAACCGACATGTTTAGTACAGGTGCAGGTCCATATTCAGCACCCGTGGCCGATATTGGTGGTGGTGAGGAAGATGATGAGAGGGAGAGAGATCCGCGCGAGTGGGGAGAGGGAGGAGAACTCGCGGTAAGCAGAAGCTAAGAAAATTAGGAAAAGATTATTATTAAGGTTATGATACTCTGTAGTTCTGGAACCCATTAATATCCCCTTGATGAAGCACTAATAAGACAAATATTATTAGAGAAACATTCGTTAGCCTACAAGCTAGTAAGCTGGCTATTTTAGGTTTTCCCTGGCAAGTTAAAATATAGCTTAATGGGACTCTGATACGTTGTCTCATTGAAAGAATGTCATTATTTTGTTAACCACCATTCATGAACAATTACTGTCAGCTGGCAGCTTGTTTAGTTTATTTACTTATGTGTTTATAAGGGCAACAGTGGTCTTTTGGGACCTGAAAAAAATGTTTATAGTCAGCTTTTTGTGGTAGTTTTGATTGACAATATATAGAATGAATAATATAGAAATAGAAGAAAAAATGTAGGCACACATGTAGTTTTGACCATTAACTGTGTGGTATTGTTATGTCAATGCCTATTTGTATGGACCTCTATCAGGGACCAAAGAGGTCACCTGCATCCTTTTTGACTCTCCCAAAGCCCCCCAACTACACTCACACATGCAAACAGACACACACACACACACACACACACACACACACACACACACACACACAGAGAGGAATGGACGCTGGACATAGTGCCCCTCTCCACAACAAGCATTCATTTTAGTTATTTCAGTCTAGTATATAAGTTACTTTGTGTGTACAGTATATATATACAGTATATATATCTTGCTAGTTGTGTACTTTTGTAATTTATGTGGGATTTCTGTCAAATGTTGCTTCAACTCTCTTTGTAAATTTAAATCTGTCTCTTTCAAACCTATTCTCAGGAAAAAAAATAAAGACAGTGGATAGTATTTTTGGTTAAACCTGTGTTCCTTCAGTTCTGTGTGCTCTGTGAGGTTCTGAGAAACCAGCCGCCTAAGACTTGCACTATAGCCCCTTGCGTGCGTCAATCAATCAATCACATTTTATTTATATAGCCCAATATCACAAATTACAATTTGTCTCAGAGGGCTTCACAGTGTGTACAGGTACGACATCCTCTGTCCTTAGACCCTTGCAGCGCTCAAGGAAAAACTCCCCAAAACAGACCCCACAATTAACAGTGGGAAGTAGGAAGAAACCTCTGTGAGAGCAACAGAAGAGGGATCCCTCTCCCAGGACGGACAGACGTGCAATAGGTGTCGTGTGTACAGATGAAAAAGGCAATACAATTACAGCGATTAAAAAAAGGATGGAAAAATTAAATGAAAGCGTCAATGTATATAAAAAGATGCCGTCGACTCATCCTGTAGACTCATCTGGTCCTATCTCTATTGTGTTGTCATAGAAAGGGGAGGCAGGGCACTATAGGGTCCCCCCCCCCCTAAATTCACTAGAAGTCATCATTTAAGGGGTTATTTTTAAAACTTTTCTTCTGTGGGGGGCATACCCCCCCAGACCCCCCTATTAGTGCTCGGTCACTGTTCGCTTTGTGAGAGGGTTTGAAGGTCTAATTTCTAATGATTGATAGTTACACATACTTGTGGTATGTATTAGTTTTGTTTGCCCCTGGTACGTAAAAAGGATAATAATAGCGTTTTTTTAAATTATACTGAGTTATTCTTCTTGTCAGGAACCGCTACTATTCGTTTGTTTTATGGATTTGGGCCGGTCTGGGTCTAAATGCCAGGGCCGATTTGCTGTCCCAGTCCAGCCCTGCCTCCACGTAATACTAGTAACTTAAGAATTCAACTTATGAACGTTTTCTGATTGGCCACTGGTAAAGGTTGGGCAACTCGTATTTGACCCTGAAGATTTTTGTCCTGTTTGGGGCAGTGAGAACAAGATGTGACACAACACTGACATCTACGGTGGCCCTGAAGTGCAAGTCAAAACAACATTTCACAAAACGCTACAGCATTTCAGGAAACACCACAGCATTTCAGGAAACACCACAGCATTTCAGGAACCACCACAGCATTTCACAAAACACCACAGCATTTAAACTTATACGGAAAGGGTATTCCTTTAGGGAGAACACTTCTTGTTTGTGATTGGACAGAGCCAGCCAGAGAAGCACTGCTGTGATTGGTTGTTTTTACTGCCAGTCAAGAAATGACGCTTCGTGATTGGTCAGCACCCGACAGCGCAACATGCCCCAAAACATCAGCCGTTAGCTGTTAGCACACAGAGCTCACAGCTCCTCATATCTGTTCAGAAACTGGACAAAAGTTAAACAAGTACAAACCACAGACTGTCTGTGTCATGGTGAATACAGTCGCAGCTTTATTTATGTCTGTATGCCGTTGTTCTGAGTGTGGACGGAGCAGCTACAGGTTAGT